AGCTAGAATTAACGCTTTAAGACTGTGCATTCCTACTGTGGGCTTGGCCCATCCACAAAAAAAAAAAAAACAGAACCCCAGCAGATCAGCCATTTCTACCCAAGACATATCCCAAAACAGTGACATGTTCAAACACACAATTCTAAAAAGAACTCACACCAGTGTTTAGATTGAATTAGAGCCGAAGTCATGTTGAGCTGAAACGAGCACACCTCACTGAACAGCCTATTGTTGCTACACATAGAGAGACTAAAAGCCAGCTTTTGTTAAAAGTCATGATCTGGAGAGCGGTGGAGACCTCACAGTACTCCAAATCCCTCATGGTGACCGTGCTACCACATGCTTCTTTAAAGCCAAACAACTGCACAAAGCACTGTAAACATTGTGTTGTTAGGTGACAAGGAGCTAAATTACGGATATCTTCTCACTCATCCATAAAGTGGGAGTCTTTATCAGAGCGGATCTGTGCTCGATTCTTATCGAATCATGTTCAGAGACTCCACTGGACCTCAACACAGAAACTCCAGGTAAAGCTTGTTGTTTGGCACAAAGTCAACATATGTAGGACATTTATAGGAGGTGATGAGATTTCTGTCATTTCGTATCATATTTACTGTATCAATAATATAATTTTTCAGAGCTCTTTTAATACTACAGAGCCTTTGTTGTTATCAGAAAATGTTGCATTTAAAATGTCTTGTGGAGGAAAAAAGTAGCTGTATTCATGTAGCCCAACGGAGAGCTAAAAGGGAGATCAAAAGGAAGGACTTTGACATGAAGACTATTCTTCTTCTTTTTTTGGCAAAAGCTATAAACCCAGCGCGACTGGGCCAGACACTGGAAACATTTGCTAGTAAAGAAAAATATCAAACATCTGTGTAAATCGTTTTAATCGAGAGCAAATTATTGCTTAGTCCCTGTCATTTGCCAAAACTGAGCAAGAAATACCCCCCCAAAAAAATGAAATGAAACATAAAACGTTAAGAAGAACCAACAGAAAGGAAGTGGAAGCAAGTGAATGATACCTCACAACAATAGATGCATGAATGGATTTTTTTATTACTCAAATCTTTCCTGGAGAGCTCTAAGTTACTGTGCAGTTGTCTTCTTTTATGAGTCAGAAACATTAAACTTAACCAGACATCTAGAAATCAGCACACAAATGCTGCCCATCACTTTAAATACCTGCTGGAACATATCTGCCATTTTGTTACAAATTCTTAGAATTATGATATAATTGAGAGATTATTGGTACCAAAACTACCGTATGGTTAACACTGTTCCTTCTTCAACATGACAGAAAAGGTTTTTTGTATACATTTACAACTCCAATTAGTCTTTTTTTAATGTAAAGCAGCACTCACAAATGCGTCCATCATTGGGAGTCATTGACCGTAAGACTGCTTTGGGTTCATGTTGGATTCTTGTATCTCAGGGGCCAAGCAGATGTTTTTCCTGGGTCCAGAAGACTCAGACCACAGCTATATAAAGACGGCGTAATTACTGGACCAGTCTGAGCACAGCCCTTGCTCTGACACACACACACACACACACACACACACACACACACACACACACACACACACACACATATACAGTTACACAAGCCACTCATGTATTTTAAGAAAGCCAACATATGGCTCCCAGCATCCAGGTTTATTCATCTTAAAGGCAGATTTTCAGTACCAGCTTTTTTTCTATGACGTGGACAGGTGAGTAAGTTTGATGAGCCCGATGGAAAGAAAAGAAAATTAACTCCTTAAAAATACAGGGATGGCAGGGTTTGCAGTTTTTGTTTCAATAGTTTCTGTTAATTCAACGTTTCCTCCATAGCTCTTCCAAGTTTTTTCAAACGCTAATTACAGGCTGTGTGGGGTTTTTTATTTATTTTTTTACAGCTGGACTATTTCCTAATTTTGAGCAGCTGTGGAGAAAACAAACTCTGTTTGAAGCTTATGATCCATAAAGGAGTGCTGGCCTCATGCGTTCTATGAGGTTCCTCTCCTCATGCATCACCTCATCGCAGCTTTTGGTCGCCTTGAGGTGTTGTAAACTCCTTCTCCCATTCTGAACGGGGATTATCACCTCCACTTGACTATGAAGCGCCCAATTTTCCAAAACACGGTTTGACTTCCAGGCTTTCTCTGTCAGTTGAAGGGGTTTTAATGAGGGGATTTTCAGTTTGGCCGACTCCGGACGACTGGAGCGGTGTCAGGCTTCCCGTCACACTTTCAGTGGTCATGAGACAGATACTCCGGAGTCCTCGGGGGTGATTTACTCTGGCACCCCTAAAAGCCAATCATTCATGAAGGCCACTAAATATATCGGTGCCCACTGAGGCGGATTCTGTTCACGGACCACAGTATTGTCAGTTTCCTTACTGATTACTCATGAGTTTTTTACTTTAAAAAAAAACAACAGGAACAGAAAAAAATAGAAAAATTATCATTCCTGCAACAACTGCTTTTAGTTGTCAAATGAAAACCACCTCAATTCAAATTAGCTACGAAAATGTATCCATTTCATGAGAGAGCAGTTCGGCCTGTCGTCATGAGTCATTCCTGCTTAAATCAAACCCATCAAAAAGTGAGAGACGATAAATATTTTGTCCCACTGATGCCACCGGTGAATGCATATTGGAGGATTATGTAGATTCTCCAGTTGTAACCGACCACCGCTTGTGTCATCAAGGCTGAAAATGGGGAAGGGATACAGCAATGAGGTGGCAGTGGAAGTTTTCTCTGCAGTTCAGTGGAGGACGACGTGGCTTTTAATAAACATGAAAAGCTGTTTCATGACTGAACGGAGGGGGGGGAGAGTCAGACCCGGGCTGAAAAAAGTGACTAATGAAGAAAAAATTCACAAAAAGTTCAAAAGATGGATGGGTGAGCGTATTGAGACATTAACAGCCATGGAAAGCTTATACTGGACATACTCAAAAGTTACAAATGTGACATCTATCTGAGGCAGATGGGGAAAAGACACTATGTGAGGCAGAGAAAAAAGATGAGTCTGACAACAACAACAACAAAAAACAGAGACAAAAAAAGTCCAGAGTGAGAGAAACTAAACCTGGGAGACAGAAAGTGACAGAGAGAATGAGCGAGTGAGAGAATGAGCGGGTGAAAGTGTGCGCATTGTGCTGTGAAGGGGTCGGGTCGTCCCGGTCAGAGCAGAAAAAGGAAACGCTGCTCAGATCAGCCCGGCGGCTGACAGCTCTCTGACAGGGATTAGAGCACTGTTGTAAATAATAGGGGTTCAGACCTGGGGCAGCTCGCTCCTTTACAAAGTCCTCATTTCTCATCCCTCATTCTCTCTGTCTGTTGACTCCAGGGGCCGGCGCAGCAAAGACTTTTGTTATTTTTTGAGAGATAGTTCCAACGGCAGACCAGCGGCGGCGTGTTTGGGTAGTTTCCATACGGCTTCAAGTGGAATTCTTTTGGTCCCCATCTGCATCAAGTCATAGAGAAACATTTTTAAAATTTCCAGGAAAATGGAGAGGAAAGCTAAGTAGCAGACTGCGATGACATCAGTGATTTAACGTCAACATCTGGGGGCCAGACGCGGCCTCAGCCCTGGAGTATATACAGTAGGTAAGTGGCAGGCTACCTGCAACATCTGGTTAAGTGACACATCAGCAGCTCGGTCAGGAACCTGATTGGAAACTATCTCTACCGAGCTCTGATCACAAACATTCATAACACACAAAAGGCAGAAGACCATGAGTGTGGCACGCTGGTCTAATATGAAGATGGAGCTGGTGTCATTTGAAATGGTACAGATAGATATTAAATATCTCTCTGAATACCCCAAATGACTAAAAAAAAACAGGATCTCGATGTGTTAAAGGCCTGAACACTCCCCAGTGAACAGGACATCCAATCAAAAAGGACACAAAGAGACAAGATGAACACACACACCCAGCCTTGAGACGCACTGTGAATCATTTTATATGGATATTTTATTCATATATATCACCATATATATATTACTTTATGTCAGGAAGGTGGATCTTGATGGAGGACTCAGGCGCGGAGATGCAGAAAACAGGGTTTATTGGAACAAAAAAACACTCAAAAGAGTAGAAGTCCAGACAAGGTTAAAAAACATGGCTGTGGCAAAACTGTGAAAAAACATGACTGAAACAAAAACTAGACTATGGCAAAGTAACAAAATAAAGATTAACAAAACTGTGGCAAGGCTGTGGCAAAACGTGGCTATGGCAAAGGGCAAATATTCAAAACCTTACATGACGTGGGGAGACGAAAGACGAGAGACGAAAGACGCAAACGAACTGGCACAGGACACGGGAAACGAGGACTATTTAAACACATGAGGGAGGGGAACCCCAGGTGTACACAATAGGTAATCAAGACATGACGAGACACCAGACATTCCCCCAGACGTGACACTTTATCACTTTAGACTTTTTACAATTTGTAGTTTCATTTGTCCATTTGTAAGTGTGTCATTGTTTTGTCTAAAATCCTAATTTAAAAGTTGCACATGCTCACATGTGAGCTCTACTCATTGTAAATGGATTTGACCTCCCATTAGTTCCCCTGGTACTGGTTCCACTGGTACTGAAACTGAATCCTAACAGAGGTTGAGGTTGGTGCTCAGATTGAAGATTTGAAAGTGGCTGAAGCCACTCTTTCATCTTTAATTATGCACTCTCTAAAACAAGTGTCATCTCCTTACGGAGTGTCTTCCAGGGACACCACGCCTTGACCACTGAAAAGGAGGAGGAGGAGGAGGAGGAGGAAGAGGAGGAGGAGGAGGCTGCTCGGGTGAAAGTGGTGCAGAGGGAAAGAGAGGAGAGGCATGCCCGGCTCGTTCCTGCAGAGCTGACGTCAGCACGGTCTCCTGATCAGGCCGTCAGCCGCAGGTCCGGGTTCAGACACAGATGACCACTGCCACCGGAGGAGGATGTAGCTCACCTGCGCACAGCGGCGTGCGGCGCGTTTAACGGAACGGGACGCGTTCAGGATCCACTAGTGATGAGTTGGCTCCCGTTTTGGATTCTGACTGCAGCCGGGATTCAACAGGTGGGGCTCAAGACACATTTTCTCGCCCCCTTTCCCCCAAAAAATGCACATATCTATTTCATTTTTGTGATTTTGGTGTGGGCTTTATTGACTGTTTGGCTCAACAGCTAGAATTAGTGCGTTTCTCTGGTTTTGTCTTGAGTGGAAACTATGGCAGAGTCACGACCTGAGTTAAATGTCCCTTTTTAAGCTACAACTATTTCTATCTATAGCTTAAGAAAAGTATAATTCTGTACATTTTTTCCGAACTTACAGTAAGATGCTGCTTCCAGTCGCCACGCTGTATCTGCGTTTGATGGGCTTTGCTGCCACCTGGTGGTTATTTAAGGAAACGCACCATTTTCCACTCACTCAAAGTTTGAGATTGCGTGGATTCGTTTCCTTTCGTTTTGGTTTCGAAAAATTGGAGAGATTATACAGTTATAACTATAATTTGACCATTTTTCTAGTTTTAATGTTAGTTTTTTTCCCTTTGAAAGATGTAGCAGAGGAAGAAACTGCATAAACCTTTCCATATATGGAGAACTTGGGGAGAGTCAATGACAGTGAATTGATCCTCGTCTATTTTATTGCATTGGAAATAAATACAGCATATTTTGTGTTTGTCTTCACAAACTAAATACATTTGTTAATATAAAAGCATTCAAAATAAATGGACACAATCCAAAAAAGTTGGAAAAAGTTGGAACTATAAGCATTAATCTCACCTTTTATTCTCCAACAAGATGTTCATGTAATCAGGATGCCAAGTAGGAATTAATTTGTTTTGTTTTGTTGTTTTCTGTTTTTGCAATCGGACAAAGATATGCAATGTTGCATGGCTGTCATGGCATTTATCTTTTTTTAAATTCTCCACGCATTCTCTGATTAATACAGGTCAGAACTGCAGGCAGTCCGGTTAAGTACCCATACCCTCCTCATCCTCAGCCATGAAATGTGTTCAAAATGTGGTTTTACCTAATATTGTGGAAGCATGTATGAAATATGATATAAGGGGGGAAAGGCACATTCGGACATATGGAAATTTTGAAAACGTGCATTCATCTTTTCTTACTTGTGATTACATAACTTTTGAGGGGAAATTTTGAAAAAAGAAAAAAAAAAAGCTCAGAGCCACAGCTTGCCAGACAGAAACTCTTTCTTTTTTCTCGCAAGAGTTCTTTCTCCATGCAGAACAGGAAATAATTGTATTTTTAAATGCTTCCACATGTTGTCTGACCTGACCACTGACTAACCTCAAGAACTTACAGGGGAAAGTTGAGCTATCAGTGCGTGTTATTACACAAAAGGGACAAAAATCCATGCCCATCATTTTTATGACACTGAATCATGCCTCTGCATCAGATTCTGCTAGATAAAGATGCCTTAAACCCCTTTTGTCTGGGAACTGAGTTCTCATTCGCGCTGCCTTTTCCTGACAGTGATTAAACGTTTCTCATATAAAATCGTACTGAATTTAGTCACTAGATGTAAACAATTTCATGGCCAGCGGCCGCGTTAAGCCTACCAGCAGTTTTCATTTCGTAATTAACCCATGAATCATCCCCTTAACTCGGATCTGCTCTCTTTGTCAGAATAATCATTTTGAGCTGAGCTTGACTTTGCATCGTTTTTTCCTCTGTAAATTAGCTGGATGGCTGCAAGCTCATTTTACTCTTCTGAGGGATAGCTTAGCGGCACAGCTATGATTAAAACTCATTTATCATTATTAGCTCTCGACAGCAAAAAGGCTCATTATTAATATGACTGTAATTCCACAGGAGAGCCGGGAACAAGCTCGGAAAAAATGGCTCGGGGTGGGTCGTGCTTGAGATGATTAAGCATGTTTTCTCACAATTAACCGTGGATTAGACGTGTGTGTGTGTGTGTGTGTGTGTTTGTGAGTGTATGTGTGTGTTCCTTATTAAAGTGTCATGCTGCTCTGAGGATACGAGTCAAGTTTTAATTTATTCCTTTATAGGAACTGTTAGACCTGCAATCCAATGAGCCACTTGTTGTCTGGACTGTAATTAACACTTATCCTTGCCTCTGCTCATCCTTCATGGCATTTCTAGCTACAAAATTGACTTACAGTTTATTTGTGGGAAGGGAAAAATCTTGCTTCAGAGGTGTGGTATTGCTTTTTTTTTTTCCTGAAAAGGAAATCTGTGCGTCCCTCTCACTGAATGATAACTCAACCGAGACACATTTCTGGCAATTTCACAGGGACGCGCTGTTCTACAGACAAAAAGTATTTTGATTTACATTCTAAGCTGCACCTCTTCTTGTTGAAAACTACCTCGTAAACCAAACGGACAACTTTTCCTCTGTGCGTCCCGTCCTAAAACTGGACTCTGAGGACTGGGCTCTCTTCACGCCTGCCTCTCATGTGGCCTGTTGGAGTGTGAACATCTGCTTTTAAGAGCGGAAAAGCTTTTAAGCGTGTGATCTTGGCTGCACGGAGAAGCTTGTAAGAGTCAAAACACGCCGAAGGAAGATAATCTGATGTTAAGTATGTGCAGAACAAGACCCTAACATTGATTTAATGAGATTTTCTTGTGATCTGGAGCGATCTCTTGGGCAGAGAAGTGGTTCATTTTGCTCATATGAGTTCTATGTGGCTTGTTCTAGGCCTTCTCCCTGGATTCCACTGCCATGCCGCCCTCCACGGCCCTCACCCCCACGCCCGAGGACGCGTACAACCGCACGAGGTACTGCAAGTGGCCCTGCGAGTGTCCGGAGGCCCCCCCCAAATGCCCGCCGGGCGTGAGCCTCCTGATGGACGGCTGCGAGTGCTGCAAAGCCTGCGCCCAGCAGGTGGGAGAGGTGTGCAACGAGGCCGACACGTGCGACTACCACAAGGGACTGTACTGCGACTACAGCTCGGACAAGCCTAGGTACGAAAAAGGAGTGTGTGCATGTAAGTGTCACCCACACAAACAAGAAAATCCATGCACATTTGGTTTTGTTATGAGACTTTTTGAACATTAGGGGGAAAAAAAGATGCGTCAGCTGCATTAGAAATGCTTGTTGTCATGGTAGTAGCACCGGTAACAGCATTCTAATATGTATTTAAAAAGTAGATTAATCATTTATAGTTTCATGAGGATGTTTGAGTTTTGACATCCTGTTGCATGTAGATCTAAATTGTTATTATTATTATTTGAGTAGCCATAAAAAGATAGCTTTATGTGGTATTGTAGTTAGGGTTTATGTGTGTTAATGGGGATATGTGACTTTTGTTTTAACAACAGTTGCTACATATGTTAAAGAAACTCATGAAAAAAGAATAGAGTATTTAGAATCTAAATTACAATCCTTTATCTTAGTTTAAATCTCAAAACATAACTCCTTTTATGAGCCTTAAAGTTCAAGGTTTGTCTAAACTGTTTGTGGTACTGCTTCTGTCTTTTACATTTTTGTTTCTTTTGTGTAGTTCCTTATGTTGTCCAGGTTGAGCCTTTATGACAGAACCATGGCCGGCATTGACAGTTTTGTGTGCCTGCTTGTCCATCTCTCGGTCAGATATGGTGGGAACGGGCTGCGAGTACGACGGCGTGCTCTACCGCAACGGTCAGAGCTTCCGGCCCAGCTGCAAATACCAGTGCCTGTGCGTGAACGGTGCCATCGGCTGCGTGCCGCTGTGCTCCGAATTCCAGCCGCCCAGAGTGTGGTGCCCAAGCCCGCGGCGGGTCAAAGTTCGCGGACAGTGCTGCGAGCAGTGGATCTGCGACGAACCCAGGAGAGGACGCAAGACGGCCCCACGGCACGCAGTGGAGGGTGGGAAGCACTCGCTTTTTAGGTTTTTAGAGAAACCAAAACCACATTAAACCACAGGGGAGCTGTTCTGATGACGGCATTACATAATGTGAACCTGAAAGCTGAGCTGGGCGTACAGAAATATATCAGAGGCTTTTCACGGTTCTGATCATAAAATAGTGCTAATCTGTAGTTTTCCAGTTGAAATCATCTTGAATGACAAGAAATAAAGTCAAAGCAGCTGTGTTTGGGTTTTCGCTCTGACAAAGTAGGTGTGTTAATGCTGTTTTTAGTCCAGGTCCATCATGAACTATGAGTGTGTGTGTGTGTGTGTATGTGTGTGCTAGTGTGCAGGGACAGACCAAGCCTTTTCCTCTCACTGTTCTTGGGCCACGTCCAGTTTCCAGTCGTTTAATGCAGGCGTGCTGCGAAGGCAAGAAAATGGAACGAAAGATCTTCTTGTGCTGCAGAAAGACACAAATTAGATCCAGACTGCTGGGCGGACACAGTTTAGCTCTTTAGATTAAAAGCAGATGCAGCAATGTTGTTGTTTTTTAATGTTCTGACTAACCTGCAAATATTGGAAATATAAAATTATTCGAAAGGGAATATAAATACAGTCTATAGTCTTCCATTCTGTAAAAGACTTCTAACTTCTCTGTATCATTGCGGTTCATTGTGTTTAATGCTTTTCCTGGCATTATAAGGCACAAAAATATTACTGTTGTGATACAATATTTTCCAACCTCTCATATTCTATTGTTTCTATTTTCCATTCCACTAGGAATTTATTTTTTATTTTATTTCAGGTTGCCAGGATAAAAAACAAGTTGATTGAGAATTCATAGACCAAACTTTTTATTGACAATGTAGGGAGTGCAGATAAACGTTTATAACACTGTTTTGCCATATCTAAGATGTGATGGAGGGTTAGGGTTGTCTTCAATTTCATGTGTTATTCAATAATACACATTGTGGACTTATTATTTTTTCTCTCCTCCATCCTTGGGGATCCAGTGGCGCCAGCTGAGACCAGAAGCTGGCACAAGAACTGCATCGCCCAGACTACCTCATGGAGCCCCTGCTCTAAAACCTGCGGCCGTGGCTTGTCCATGAGGATCTCCAATGCCAACGAACAATGCGAGATGGTCAAAGAGTCCCGTCTGTGCAATCTGCGCCCGTGTGAGGTGGATATCACCAAACACATCAAGGTAGTGGATCCGTCCCTTCATCTGATATTTCCCTGACATCGAATTTCCTCCAACTCACAAGTCCTTCTTTCCTCAGCCAGGAAAGAAGTGTCTGAATATCTACAGGGAAGATCAGCCCTCAAACTACACCATCTCCGGCTGCACCAGCAAGAAGCAGTACAGGCCCAAGTACTGCGGCGTGTGCACCGACGAACGCTGCTGCATCCCCTACAAGTCCAAAACTCTAGACGTGGAGTTCGGGTGCCCCAACGGGTCGGGGTTCACCTGGAAGATGATGTGGATCCAGGCCTGCTTCTGCAACCTCAGCTGCAAAAACCCCAACGACATCTTCGCCGAGCTGGAGAATTACTACGGTTACCCTGAGGTCATGAGCTAAAAAGTGTACTTCCTGACATGCGTCCCTTCTGCCGTGCTTTGCATTTGCAATGTGGATGTTAGTTTTTTTTCTTGTTTCTTACCCCAATTCGAAAAGAAAAATGTAAATAGGAAATGTTTATATACTTGGGAATGGATTTATAAAGCATTTTGTGCTTTCAAAGAACCCGCAAAAGATAAACTTATTTTACATGCTTAATTTATTCGTGTAGCTTTAAACTCTTGTAATGCTCTTGAATTGGTCTCAGAACAGTCCAACATTGCATGTCTAGCACTTCAGTGTAGAACAACTTGTCCTAATGTTTAGGAATCCCAAAGAGACTTACTCTTCACATATCCAATAAGACCACAATAACAGAACCTGTTACATATTTTTATTGTCATTTTTTAATAAATACAAACTGTTATGTCATTTTTAATGCTTTTCTACAGCATTAGATGGTTTGTGCATTGCATCTTTACAAAGCCGTGTATATGTCCTCTACAAAGTAATATGTTGCTGTAGTGCAAGTAAAATACAAGAGTAGAAGGTGTCAGGTAAGTTCTATGGCTATCCTCATGTTAACATGTGGACCTCTTTCTTTACTCACCCACAACCACACAGGAGCATCACACCTAAAGAGTGAACAATTCCATGGCACATTTTTGGTTTCATTGTGCTTGATTGCATAGAAATGATAAGAAAAATGAAGACATAAGGGGGAGAAAAAAAAAAAACACGATTCAGCTTCCGTTGATAAAGGAAGTGATAGTAGAAAAAAAAAAGATTTTCGAATTTTCATTTCAGTTTTGATTGATAACAAAGCACAAACTTAAAGAAATGTCCTAGAAATCATCAACCAATTCTCAAAAACATCTTCATTGTTATGCAGAAGGGGAAACAAAGCCATGGAAAATGACATTGGCAGGATGCATATGTATGTACAAGGTATCTTTTGGATCCGTCCCTTAATTTGCAAAGTTACAAATGCAATTTGAGGCAAAAACAGTCATTTTTCTTTGTCCTAGTACCTCCCAAGTCTCTCCTCACATCTACACATCTGCTCCTACACAAACATGACATGGAAAATAAAAGAATAAATGAGCAGTTAGGAGGGGAGTACATTTACAGTCATATATTTGAGAAAACTGAGTCATCATGGTAAAAACATGGAGAGAACATAGACGTGGATTTTATTCTTAATGCATGTGAGATTGGTTAGAAGCTGGTGTAGTCTTAGCCACAGCTTTCTCAGACATTCCCCATTTCGGCGTCTCCAAAATGCTGCACTGCCTCCAATTACACTCCGTTTGACCAAATGGTTCAAATATGAGTCCCTGAATAGAAAAAAAAAAAAAAAAAAAAAAAGCACACACCTGACCCTTACTCTAAAGACCAATTTTTTTTAATAAGAACATCTCAGTTTCACCGAAAAGTGTAAAGCTGGGAGTCCATTGTGCGTTTGAAATTTTCCGGGTATCCCCTCTCTGCATTTTGTGTGTACATTAGGAATGTGTGTCTGATGTAATTGGAGGCAATGCAGCACGACAGGACAGTATTTGCGTGTCTGGCCAGCAGCGAGCGGCTTAGCAGGACACTTCGGCGGACTTGGGCCCCGATTGGTCGACTTTGTTGTTGGCCGCGGCGTCGGCCGAGCTGTCGGGGTGGGCGCGCGCGTGCTGGTTCTCGGTGGTGTGGCTGCGGCTGCGGCTGCCCTCGTTGGTGTGCGACCGGGAGCGGTTGCCCTCGTGGGTGTGGGAGCGGGAGCGGTTGCCCTCGAAGGAGGTGACGCTGGAGCCCGAGGCGGTGCGGGAGCGGGCCAGACGGGTCATACTGGCAGCGGGCACTGAGGAAAAAAAAAAAAAGAGACACGGACTGAGTAGGAGCTGGAAACAAAGCCCTTTTCAATTGGCATTTTAATTTATTCTCAAACTATCCCTGTTCAAAAATATAGATCAATAATGTTCAAATATTCTGTTAATAAGAGTGGGTTTTATTACTCGACACCCCTAAAATAAAGAATCTTCATAAACAACTGCATGAGTTTCCTTTTTTTTTTTACCCCCAACACAAATCATTTAAAAGCCACTCTTATTCCCAAACTATCCCTGTTCAAAAATATAGTACAATAATGTACAAGTACACTATGTTAATTAGAGTGGGGTTTATTACTTGACACCCCTAAAATAAAGAATCTTCATAACCAACTGCATGAGTTTTCTTTTTTTTCCCCCACATAAATCATTTGAAAGCCACTCTTATGTTATATGAAGAAGTCATTTTAACTAGCTCCATCTTCTGGGTGTTACAGTATTAAAAATGGCAACTTAATATTTTAATCATACACTGCTGCAACTTGTGTAATTATGCTGCTTAATGTTTGATCACCCTGCTTATTTTCTTGTTTTACAAATAAAATCTGATCACTTCAATTGAGTGGGATGACTGCAAGAATAAGCTTCCTCATCGAGCCACAAGGTGGCAGAATATTCTTGTACAGATTCACAGTGTTTACATTTGTAGTTTCAGATATCTGCGAGGCAACATATTGCCCGGTGGAGCGTGTCTTGGGTACTTACTGTATCCCATGCCCTGAATGAAGTACTTGAACGCCTCCGTTAGTTTGCCGGGCTGCAGAGAGAAGCACAAACAGACGTGATTACCCTGTCGTCAACGATAATCGCTGCTGTTTACACAACCCGGACGGGCCCCCGTCTCTCATCCAGCAGCTTACAACCGCGGGCCCTGCGATACGACAGCTGCGGCAAACAGGTGCTGCGCAGTGTGGGGGATTACAACCCGACAACTGCGGTTCATGTCCGCTCCTCGTTAATGCTCTTAAGTGCCACCATTTCACACCCCTCCCTCCCTCCCTCCCACCTGGCTGTCTGTGCAGATTATCCATCCCTGTTCTGCCACATTACCGTCTCAGTCCACTAAAAAAGACATACACACCTGGTCAACCTGGGGCATGCCACCACAGTCGGCCATCTGGAAAGGAACCAGAAACACAAAAGGGTTGTTAGATGGTTTCTGTGGCGGTTGGATACATACCATTACCAGCTAATTATACACAACATGCCCCGTTTGAACACTTCAGCTGCTGGCCTCAATTTTCCCCCCGTAAACCTCGGGTTGTTTGCTCTGGTGAATAGCCCCATATCTAGATCTTAACAGCAATTTGGTTTCAGCTACGGGCAATAAAACATTGCCCAAGGCACCCAGAAGTAGGTCAGAAGTTGCACATCGCACACTGGAATAGCATTAGCATAGCCATGTCCAGCTGCTCCGACTGGTTAATGTGTCACCAGGTAAATGCTGAGTCGCTGGAAACTTATCAGCTGAAGCTTTTCCATCAGGACTATTATCGCTGAACCATGGATGTGGGACGCGAGGTCCAGGGCGAGTTCGGTGAAGGACACGGGGCAGGAAACGCGCCTCTCACCTTGAGGAGGGTAGTCTTTGTTGGGTCCAGCTTGGTGTTGCATTCAACCTGTGGATAAAAAAAAAAAAAAAGAGAAAAGACACTTACCACTAAAGCAGAATTCAACAAGGCTGAAATTGATCAATTCCCATCACATCAAAATGAGTTTTTGAAAGATTGGAGGCCTGACTTGAGTTAAAATAAGTGAGAAAAATGCATTTAATTTTAAATTCAGGAGTCACTTAAATTTTCCCCCTTTTTCTCAATCTTTTTTTCCCATCTGTCCTAGGAGTCTGTAGCCATTAAACTGTTAATTCTTGCATTCTTGGCTTTTAAACAGATGACTGAAGTGAATGGAAAGCACGTCTCCACCCATTTAAAGTAATGAGAAGTGCACTCCTGAGCATTAATGTCTGTTTTAATGGCTGCCTGAACCGTGTAAACTCACCACAGCATCCACAGCAGGAGAATTGTCACCAACCACCAGCAGAGAAGGGCACCTACGGACGAGATTCACAGTTTTAAATTAGGGCTGGTCACACAGATGCATATCATCTGACGCACGCTGAACTTACTTGAGGGTTCTGACATTGTGTCCAGGGATAGGCCTCTCGATTTCCAGATCCCTCCGACTGCAAGAAACAATCCAATTACTTGTTAATAAAAGAAAAATGCCCAACTTCTCTTCATGATTTCTGGCATCTTAACCTGCTGATTCGTAGATTGTGAATAAGTCTTTACCACACTTACCTTTCGTAGGCCTTGACGAAGAGATGCAGATTAAACTGGTTCATGTCATTCAGGATGTGGTGACGGTAGGTACCAATTAAATCATGGTTGTGGTGAATCTCCTCCTGTGGCGACAAAAAAACAAAGATGAAAGACTCAGTTCATGCTACTGAAGACTACAGTAAGATCCTTTGAGGCAAAGTTTTGAACTGTACCTTTCCAAAGAGGTGGGTGATGATCATGTCTGGCATGGCGTGGGTCCAGCCGCTGATCTAAAATTTAAGATCAAACATGTTTGTGCATGTAATTCATGTTTTGGTTTCAAGTTATCATTTCAAGAGGAAACCTTTTTGTATTGCATGTGAAAACGATGCATTACCTTGTGTGCAGCCCAGTCCATCCATCCCTCAGCACATGGGTTGATGTTGATCAGCAGCAGGCCCTCCACCATGTTTGGGTAGTCCAGCTGAAAGGAAATGCATGCAGTATTTTCAATTTAAGACTATCATTAAGCCGAAAATGTGTTCATGTACAGCTTTTACCATTTCAACGTCTTAACTGAACTTCAGTAATTTTGTTACAAGTAGTTATATGATCATATGCAATGTTTAAATCCTATATTCTAATTGGTTATTGTTTATTTATCTATGTGGGGAGAAGTTTCCCCTCTTGAATTTCATAGATTTCCACAATAAACATTGCAGAAATGGAGAAGGCTGCAACAAGGAGTTAAAGCTGCATCTCCACCAGCCTTGAATCAACAAAGCGAGGCATCCTATTGAGTACAATATTAGTCTTGAGCTGATGTGGTGCATTCCTCAGGCCTTTACGGCTCAGCGGGCTCAAGCAATAAGCAGAGTTTCAGGCTAATATAAACAAAGAATTGAAACACCAATCCCAGATTTATTAAACACAAGTCACGAAACATAATTGAGGCAGAGCTTTGAACTTACAGCAAATCTGGTCAGGATGTAGGCCCCTGCCCCAGTGCCCATCCCGATGACACTCTTCAGGCTTTGGTGAGTAAAGATACACAGATACTGTTAGAACAACCGGTTAGAACAAATCTTAAAGACGAGAGAAATCCAAGTCTCTTAAAACTACAACTCGACTTACCCAAAGTGCTTCAGCACCAGTGGGAGAGTCTCAGACAGCTGGTCCATAGAAGGGTACTCATACCTGGAAAACAAAAAGAAATTAAATTTGAAATCTTCTCGCCAACATATGGCTCCTGGATGCAAGTTACAGTTTGTTTACACCCCACAGTAAATGTGCGCTAAATGAGTTAAAGTCCTACAACAAAAGATTAAGCTGACCGAGATAAACACCCGTTTCGACAACACATTCGTCAAATTAGGTCAATCAACTTAAGAATATCCGCACAACGATCGACCCAAAGGGTCAGGTCAAAGGCTGCAGACGGCTCGGCGCAGATCGCCTATCTTTACAAGCGTGTTTGTTTGTCTTTTCCTCACCCGGTGGAGAAGGTGTTAGCTCCTTCGTGCTGCCCTAGGGCGTCAACATGGCACACAGCAAAGTGCTGCATGATTTCTGACATGTCCTCATGGCTGAAAAGCGTGTCCCAGCAAGTTTTGTCTGAGGGAGAAGAAGAAGACGAAAAGGAATCTAGCTTAAACTACAGTAACCACTTCAAATGACCCGAGGGTAAGCATGATATTTGTAGAGTTTACCCCTGAAAAAAGAGCAGGTGCTGTGCATTGTCTCTTAGGAACACTGCAATCAGCACATTAGCAGAACCTCTTGAGAAGTTCAGCTGTTGTAATTCCTTAAACTTATTACATAGTTAGCTCTGTGACCATAATCTGTTTCCATGGCACACCCATTCAAAAGCACCCTTGGCATTAAGCCCGCACAACCGATGCTTCACCCAGACAGAGGCAGGACTCACGATTTAGTCCAATGTCATGGAAAGTGAGGATGACTGGTCTGTCCCCTTTGGGAGCCCCCTTCATCGTGCAGTGAATTCTTCCATGAGGAGTTTCAACATCATGCTCCTACAGATGGCAAAGCAGAACACAATAACATTACAATGATTCACAATAATAAATGCATAAAATAGTCAGGTTAAAAAGACATGCATTCGAATCTGTTCCATTCTTCCCAAAGAAACAAAAAACCCAAAAATCTCAGTTTAGCAATCATGCAGCCGCTCAAACTGCTGAGGCAGCATAATCCCTCCAAAAAATAAATGAATAAATCCCACAAAACTAGAGTGCAAACACCGTTCAAGAAAAGCCTTTTCCATAGTCTACTCACGCTGACTTCAATCTCAGCAACAATCATTTCCACATCAGAGTCTTCCAGAACCATGTTTGCACAGGACGTGTTACAAAGCGCTCGCCACTGAAAAACCGGACACCCTTTGTTCCAGGAGCTTTAGATCCAACACTCGGTAAGCCGCTGAAGTTGTTCAGCTCTGCGCTGAGAGCCGCATTTTATACCCCCGCTGCTTACCAGCCAGCCTAAGCTTCCCGGCCTCCCGTGGTGCCTTGCAGGTTGGTCAAAACAAGCTAATTCTAGACGAAGAGATCCCTAAATTGGATCAGTCAATGTCAGATGGACGGGCATCATCGAATAAGTGTGCATAAACAGTGGAAAAACAGCACGATTCCACAAAATTTTTGGAATATTTTAAAGAGACCAGATTCGCCATGGTTACTACATTTTTTTAAAGCTGAATTTCAAACATCTTAATATACAATTTAAAAAAACTTTTTGGCAAGGTATTTCCTCAAATTGCCTCCTATAATAGTTTTTAGAAGAAAAGCTCTTGTGTTCTAACAAAAAAATAACAATTAATCTTTGATTCTTTTTTAAAGGACAAAATGGTGGTCCCAAAGTGACTTGACCAGGTTGAGTGGACAAAGTGACCTTATTGGTGGTTTGTTTCCCATTCAGTGGCTACGCACACCAACAGGATTCACCACATCACATTCCACCCGCCCTGCAGCTTTGCGAGGCACACTTTGGCACGTAGGCTACACCTTCGAGCTAATCCTCCAACATGTGCGTTAGCGGCATACGTGCTCACAAACGCAGACGCGTCCGCAAAACCAGCAGAGGTAAAAAAAAAAAAACGCATAAAGGGGACCGGACGCCCCAATTTTGTTGCATTCATCTAATCCTTTGTCACCAATTGTTGCAACCTAAGCCTCCACATTCATGGCCCAGTTCCGTCACTTGATCCAGCCAATTAGAGCTAATGCAAAGTAAGTCAGAGGAATTCAGTGTGGAGGAATTTCCTTCTATGGGGGAATCCTCAAGCAAGTCAACCTTTTTTTGGAACGTGATCTCGGAGGTCATGGCCGAGAGGTCAAGAATGTGACGACACTGCATCTAGTAACTTAAAAGACTGTAGAGGCTACCTCTCTAAATTTAGGGTAGACTTTGCAGGATCTGAATTCTTTCTTTATTCTATAACACTGGGGAGGTGTGACGTTTTGGCCATGTAAAAGTTATGCAGGTAAGCATTTAGCCCAGTAGCGTAAATAGACACAGGGAACCACTGAAACAAAACCTCAGAGTTGGGGGAAAGCCCAGCATAGAGCACATTCTTTCACGTTCCCATTAACTGATCGATTGCACCACACAAGAAGCGAGTCTCCTGAAAGTCATTCAGAAGGCAAATTCCACTACCGTTACAAGCCTGATGACCTATAACCCCATCTAATCCCTAAGTCCTTTGGGATAAAAATAAATTTTACAATACTGGTGGATTTAGAAAGAAGTAATTGGAAAAAAAAAAACATTAAAAAAAAATATAAAAATCTTTCAGCATTGTCCAAAACCAAATTGGGTTCTCTTTTGCCGGGGGTTTGATTTTCTGCAGTACGTTTATGCTGATACACACATACACACACACGCGCTTTATCACTTCCAGTCAATTATTGAATTAGTAGAGTTTGGATTAGACTTTAGATTTTAATCAAATCAATTACTGGGAAGTCTTCATTTTAGGAGACTGGACAACAGCAACAGTGATGAAGGGATAGGAATTTTAGTTTTTCTTAATTAAACCACTAGATGGAACTAGATTTTTTTTTTTTAAATATTAAAATTAGAGAAAAATCCAGTCAAAATAAATCCCGAATCATACATTAGCAGTTCATCTGTGTAATTAGAAGGTTAGGTAACAAAAAATGTCATTTCTGTGTGTCTGAAACTATACCTTGACAACCAGTTGCTGTACTGCCTCTCTCAGACCCTAAAAAACAAAAATAAAAAAGAGAGAAAACAGAGTAATCAATACACAACCCTAATACAATTACATTTACATACAATTACATAATTGAGCATCTTAAGGACTTCTCCCTGTCACTGAAAACTGCTACACATTGATGGACTTTATTTCAACGACACACATCTGCATCTGTAGTAGATTAAAAACAAAGGGGAGGGAGGGGGTCTGTAACTGAATATTATTTTCCGCATGAAGGTTTTTGAATAATTTGTGGCACATTAGCGCACAATTGTGTTTCTACAGCCTTGACCTACACAATGTTGTAAACCATTATACTAGCTTTGAAGTCAAAACCAATACGTACAGGCAATTCCCTGTCAACCAGCAGGGGTTTGGACTCAACGACTTGGATGTCATCCATTTCAAAGAGCTGCACACTCTGGAAGGCAAAGCAAACAGAAACATTAGTCAGACTTGTTAGAGAACACAAAAAGAAAAAAATATACATATACACAAACATACATATATTACATATACTTATTGGAATTTCAGAAAGTTGTAAACATTAGCTCCTTTGAATAGTGTCTTTTTAAAAGTGGGAACTAGCAGACTTGATAAAGACAATAAAATGAACAGTTTGATCTCTGGGCTGGGTGTGTTTATTATCTATATCCCCATATAATAAAAACATTACAAAAACAAATACACTAGACTGGCAGCTCTGACCTACGGCACCATGTCGATGCCTCAAAACCCTGCATGAGACACAGGAAGGCCATCGAGGACATAAAACCTTTAAAAAAACTGGTCAGCGGGGCCAGCTAACAGATAAAGAAGTCAAACAGAGAAGGAAATGGGATGTTTAAGCAGTGTCGTCACGTCCCTGAAACCCGATCCAAATGAGAAGGGGGGGAAAAACGGACCTTAAGATGAACACAAAAAAGCACAGTTTTTGTGCACAGAAAGAGGAAGATGGCAGATTCCAGAAATAGAAGAAGAGGAGCCAAGCTGTGTGGATCACACTGCAGAACATGGAGAATGTGACTGAATGCAAATCAAATTAGCCGATGAAGAAGACTCTTTGTCCAGTGGCCTGCTGGCTCTCAAGAGCCGGGGGGGGGGCGTTTGTCATTTCTTCTCCACAGCTGAAGGAGGGCAGGACTGACCAGGACACACATCCACACACACACACACACACACACACACAGGAAGCAACAGATACCCTAGTTTCCAGCAAAACATGTCGGCCTCTTTTCAGCCCCCGCTGACTTTCTAGCTCTGTGCATTCGGCCATTACTCTTAATTTGCCTTGCTTTCAGTCCCCGTGTTTGTCCTATAAAGCCTTTTCCCATTAGCCTTTGCCTACAGCCACACATCAGGAAATCGTCCACCTCCAAATATGCTGAGTTTGTCAGAACGGGGATGGTCAGTCCTCAGTCGGAGGAAGCGATTCATTAGCTTTTTGAACTAGGGTTGTTCTGCAGAACACACACCCCCCGTCACACACACACACACACATGCCCCCTTTGACTGAGGAAAGGGGAGTCCAGCGCCAGCCAGATCGCACAATGGTGCGGAGGAAAAAAGGAGCGTGGAACAACAGGTTCGTTTGTCTGCGCCCTAAAAACGCGGCCGGCGCCGCACTGCAGGGAGCTTTGTTGGAGAGGGCACCGGATCGGCCCCCGCCGAGATTCCACAGCCACGTGAAAAAAAAGCCACGTGGATGGTAAAGAATGAGATAAAGAACCATCAGCTAAAAGGTAAAAGCTAGATCCTTACGAAAAAATGAACCTGAATCCAAGTGAGGTGCAGACTTCCTCCGTTTGGCTACCGCCCCCACCTGCCACCACGCTGGCAGCATATGTAGGTCACCTGCTGTTTACTTCTCAAACTGCTCTGTGCAGAGCTTAGGTTTCACCTGCACAAAAGGTGGGACCCTCCAGCTAAAGTCCCATGGGCTCCAATGGGAAATTCATGGAAATATTAATCGAATAAACCATGTCCTGGTTTCATAGAAACTTTTGGTTTTTGTACTCCTCCATGTCTGGGAAACCATTTTATTTAAAAACTTTTTTAAAGGGAGCATTTCTGCTGGGGTTTTTTTGTTTTTTTTCTCCCCCCCCCCTCACAGGATCACGCGTCAGAGCTGCAGCAGCAGGTTTTTCTTAAAGAGATGACGGCAAACAGGAAACACTGGAATCACTCGGAGGACAAACTTGCTCAAACTTGCAAATTTGTAACTGGAACTTGCTAGATTTTTGTCAGCTAATAGCATGCTGCACGTAAAAGTGAACTGAATAGAAAAAAACAGGAAACGGGGGGGGGAGGGTGTATTGTTGGGGTGACATAAAATGTGACATAAAAAGTTGATTTAAAAATCCTGATACGTGATTGAGACCACAAATTCAGCCAGAGTTGCTCTCACTGTGTTCAAGTCTGTACTTGACCGCCTTTTTTCAAAACTTGAAATGGCCCCATTACTTAGTTCCTGAAAAGAATGTGTCATGAAGCAAAAATGAAAAAATTTACCCATTAGATTTGGACATAGAGAGAAATTTTCTGAGAACTTGTCAACAAGATTGAGACATTCCTCAAGCAAATGCATCCATGTAGATTTAAATCCACGATCTTTAAGGATAAACAATGAAACAATGATTGCTTCGCTAATCTTTGGGAACTTGTTTAATCCATCAAATCTCTGACTCTGACACATCAGGACTGGATTAAGCTGTCAGCGACCTACATTAGAATTGATCACATTTGAATCTCAGCTGAAATAAGCCATAAAAAGGGAGAAAGAAAAAAAAAAAGTTTGTGTTGGGGGGAGTCCATTCATTAGCAGCCAGAAACAGACACCCATCATAATGGCTTTTGTTTATGGTGACATGAATCCTCCTGGGTCCCCACAGGGCAGCAGACTGAGATCAGGATGGTAATCCCTCACAGGAGGGACCAGATTCAAGAAAAGATTTCAATTTATATTGATATTTGGAAGAAAAACAGTTAATTTGATGAGTTACGTTAAATAGGTTGTAGTTTACCAACATTCATGAAGCCATTTTTTTTTTAATATATATATTTATATTAAATTAGAAGCCTGAAATTAGATCCCTGATTCCCCTCCCCCACCGTGCAGGGCTCGTGCATGTTTTTGTTTACTTGTTTTTTCGTATTAAAGCTTAATCGAAGAGCATTTCTTATGCTGCTGCATGACCGCTTTTTCTTGTTGTTGTTTGTTTGACGAACAGAAACTTTACAGATGAGTTTTGTTTGTTTTCAGTTTCTGCGCGTGCCTCATGTGACACGTGTGAAATGCACGTCGTCCCTCCAACACAACAGTTCTTTCTTTTTCCTCGGAAATAAAACGCATACCACATAAATTTAGATTAGATATGATCACTTTTTTTTCGTCTACAACGAAAACAACGCAAAGTGCATTGGTTTGCAAAAGAAAAAAAGTTTTTTAAACGAGTCATGAAGTAGATTTGAAAAGCCCCCTAATTTCTTTTTGCTTTACATAAATATTATAATAAAAATCCAACGCGTGCTGCTGGTACACAAACACAACACCGTGTTAAAACAAGCAGGTTTCTCGTTAAGATGATGATAAAATGATATAATCTGTGGAGAATAAAGCCTACCTGTTGATTCAAAGCTGATTGTCCTGAGAGGCAAAAGTCCACTGCAATTTTTTCTCTTCTCTCTAATTTCAGTCCAGCTCCAGCTGTTGCTGAGATAGAAGCGTCGCTTTGTTTATAACGTGAAGCGCAAAGCGGATGTATGAGGGAATTTTATAAAGCCTGGAGGGGGGGAGAGGGGGGGACGTGGAGACCGCCCACTTTCTTCCTCCGCCGTCTCTATTGGGCAACAGCAGCTGTGGGATTACTACTCTTTCCAGAGGTTGCAAGATGAGGAAGCCAAGGGCAACTAACCCCCAACTCACGTATAGGGAAAGACTCACTTTTGGTTTCTTGATATCTGCGGCAATTCGGGAATCTTACACTTTAGTTTGTGTATTCACGCTTAATTCTCTCAGTTCTCTTGCAACCCGAGACTTCCCCTCAGCTGAAGTGAATTCCTATAGTTGCAACAGCTGACGCACTTCCAAAAGGTGTCTGGGCCATTGAGCGAGGAATGCCGCCACGCCAGCACCCTTGATTTGAGGCCAAGATGGAAGTCTGTACAAAGGGAAGCCCTTCCCTCACCTCAGACCGTCGGCCTTTCCCTCACAGCCGGCTGTTATTGTTCGATTGATCCCTTCCTTCTGGGTGTACCCGAGCTCCCAGAATCCGTTTGAAAGGGCCCGTTTTAAAGAGTTTTAGCGGTGAATGCACGCGTCAGTATCTTCTCAGAAGGCCGTTTGCCGTCCCGAATTCTTAGATATCAACGATTAATCTCGTCCGGCAGAGTCTGGCTTTTGATGGAAATTTCCACACCTGCAGGAGCGCGACTGTGACGCCGTGAATCTGCCAATAAGTGCTAGTATTGGCCACGAGTGTGTGAAAGGTCCTTTTCAGGACACAATAGCCTCACTGTGGACTTGAAATGTGAAGCCCCTCAATAGGAACACATGGAACAATAGCTGCATTGGAAGGGGGAAAAGTATAGCCGCCGAGCATCATGAGCCCATCGGACGGACACCAGTCGGGCTGAAATGTCCGCAGACGAAAGTCAAAATGGGGGCCGCCATTCTGTGCGTGTGTCCACACAGCCGTTGTGAAACGACCACGTGTGTGTGCACACTGTGAAAGACTGAGTGTAAATCTGTGTCGATCCCTGATAAAAGCAGTGTGCTTTCACCAGGCCTCTTACTGTTAGTGGGAGAGACTGCCAACTTTGATGTGGGACAAAAGACAGCTCCTCACGTCTGGACCCCACCCTGGCACACATTTTTGGGCCGTTGAAAGGGGTTTTCAATCTCGATTCATTTCAGGACTTTGATCGAAATTTGGGTAAATCATTGAGTGTGTGTCCACATATCATCACCCACCCCGCCAAACCCTTTACCGCTTTCATCTTGTTGACTTAAGAGAGAATTCTTTTTTTTTCCTAGTGCGATGACGGTATTATCACCAGAAAAAATCAAAACCGTACCCATTCAACCTCTGAATACAGATGCTGAAAACAGGACGGAGCCGAAGCCTGTACCCTGGTGCACGCCGGCCGGGGGGTCTCCAAGTTTAAGCGTATTTTCTGTCAGAGTTTGACAACAGTCCACTGCTGTTTCGGGGCACACAGAGCAGAGGAAATAAAAGAGGGGGTATCGGAGCCCCTCCTCCCAGCTGCGGAAGCGTTTCCGCTGAATCCGGCCCAACAGTCAGCAGCTTCCTGACATCTGTTTCTATCACAGGTTTATCCACCCAACACGCCCATCCCGGGGCCTTTGTATTCAGCCAAGCAAGATCCAACCGGTCATGAAATCCACTGATGCAACAGGCT